AACTGTAAATGAACGTATTTGGTAAGAACATGCAGAATGTGTGTGTGCGCTAAAGATGGGATATTTTGAGAATTTAACTCATTTCTGAATAGTAAGGCATCCAGTCTGGCTATAATTGATGCCTGTGGCAATTGTTGATACCCTGACTACATTAGCTTTCTGTGCCCTTTAGCAGAATTGGGAAAACATTTCTAGTACTCATTAAGCTGTCTGTTATCAAGACACCATAAATATACACATTTAGAATAGATGATTTGCTATCCCAGTGCCTTAGAGCACTTAAATAAATTAGTTCCTACTATTTCAGGCATTAATGTTGTGGTAATTATGCATGAAGCAGTAATGTAATTAAAGTTGCCTTGCAACTTGCTCAAGTGGGAATATTTTTTAAAATAATACTTGATCTTTTCTTAAAATAAACTCTAGAGCAGGTGGATGGGCTGTGTGGCTCAAAACAGCATTGTGGGCCTGTTTTACCTTGAGATCCTCCATTTGCCTGCAGCTCAAGTTAATATTAACCAAGTATTACTATCTGGCTTTTGTTGATCTCTGGAAGGAGGCAGCAGTCTTTTTTTTTTTTTTAATTTTATTTTTATTTGGGTTTTTTCTTTTTTTTCCCTTCTCTAATGGCGAAGTGCCCACATCACAGCTGGCATTGAGTGCTTCAGCAGTGGGGTTTCTTATTCAAAGAATGCAGCCACACTTCAAGGCAGGAAATGTGGGCTGGTTTTCTGCTTGCAACATGTTCTCCTTTCTTTGTGCTCAGTACATGCTGGTTTCAGATCTTTGCAATACCTGCTATAATAAAGCACAGCAATATATCAACCCAAATTTCAGCCTTAGGTCTGAATTTCTTTGCATTTAAATTGGACATCTTGTTCCTTGGGAGAAAAATATATATTTTGTAGCTGAGTTACAAGTAACATTTTCCAGCTTTTTGGCAGCCAGGTAATAGTTAAAGTGAAAAGCTTTATTTTTTTTCCAGCCAGAAAAGCGGTTTAATAACTTTGGATCCATTTGTTCATAGCAGTACTGGAGTTGAGCCCTGCAGACCCCTGGAGCTTGGCAAGCCAGACTGACTTGGCAAGTTTTCCTACCAGCTTACAAGTCTGAGTCAAGCATGGGTTGCTGTAAATTCAAATATATTCAGTACACTTTGTTAACAGGAACGTTGAGGTGGAGGGTTGTTTTTTTTCTTTGCTGACCTTAAAGAGTACCATACTCTCTTTACAAACAGCTGGTCCTTAAAACATGCATGACAATTTATAGCTTGTGTTAAGTTCAAAGTAAATGTATATTTTAAGCAAAGTATCTGATTTACTTGTGACATTAAGATATTGAGGAAGTATACAACATTGGTTTTGTCCATAGTTATTTCATTATCTTAATCTTTGGAAAAGACAAGGATAGCCGTTATTTTTCAGTCCGTCATAACTGTAACAGCTTGTGCCCTCTGGAGCACATGGTGCACACAGACTTGCGTAAGGACTGGGGATGTGCTCACTTCTATCTTTTACCTGTATGGATCCTGCCAAAAGAAAGTAGTTCAAATTTGGCTTTTGAAATAGCAGAACACTGAACTTTCTGAATGTTAGTTCTTGCCCACTTAAATCATAGCAACCTTGAAATAAGGAGAAAACTTGTCAGCAGAAAATTCTTTCCATGTTGAAAGATGCTGTAGAAGACTAAAGATGGTGACACCTCGATATCTATTTACCACAGACACATCTGTCTCAGTATTCTCCTATAGTGATGGACTAATCTTAAGGTGGTTTTAGCAGGGTCTTTAATGAATTCTGTATCACCCAGTTGGGGTAGGGTGGGAACTGTGTAGAAAGAATTGTGTTGTTGAGGGGTTATTTTTCACTTGTCCTTTGACACTCTGCTGCTGTGTAAGGCATCTTAACAGCTTTGCTTTTTCCAAGTTTTATATGATTCTATCTTCCTTACTGATAATATTTTTGTTGGGAAATGTGAATCTAAGATGTTAGGTTTGCCTGGGTTGAGGCTTTTCTTCTAGCGATGGGCCAGCTACAGAAACTCTGGCTGCTTTGTTTTACCCTCTTAATGGAAAATCAGAAATGTCTGTTGCAGGAGGACTAGTTGTGGGAGGCTATGGTTTCAGAAAGCAATGGTTTCCTAAGTAGCATGAGCCAATGTCATAAAAGACTTCAGCATTTGCTACCAAACCTTTGAAGTTTGCTTTGCCCAGTGGGATTGAGAAAACCGAGCAGAGCACAAGCTAAGGTTGCCAGCTAGGCAGACAGGCTTCTGACCTGTGAACTATTTATGCTTTCTAGGATTGATGCCCTCATTTGTAGTTGCAATTAGTTACAAAAAGCCTGGAGATTATAAATGCCTAGATCGTCATTGCTAAATATCTGGGAGTGTGCTGCTTTAAAGCTCTGTTTCTTCTTAGGAGAAGAAACCTTCAAGTTCCTTACCTGACAGCCCTAAATTACTTGTAATTTCTTTTTGGGACCTCAGGCTTTGTACCCAGATCTCCTATATCTTTCATTTGAAGAGCTCAGGTATACAGCTGGTTGAAACATTCCATGTGTGTGAGTAAGACTGGTCAATATGCTACTTTGGGCCATTAATTGAGTCCAATAATGCAGAGAGCAGTGATCATTCAAGGTATTGATACAGTAGAAGTCATGAAGAAAGTTGGGATGTAAATGTAGAATTCTGTCTTTTTTCTGGATGGAGCTGGAGAGATGAACACTTAAATGTGTATTTAATTTAATGCATGATTGACATAGTGAAAAAAAATTTTTTTTCAGGAAACTGGAGAAATATGTTACAGTTTATACTAAGTTGATGCATTTCAGCTAAATGAAAATGGAATAAAACTGCTGGCCCTTAAGAAAGCTTACAAGGGCATTTCTAAACTGCAGGCTGCAAAAAGGGCAGCAGGTAGAGAAAAGCACAAACTTTAGAATAACGTAGGGTGAAATCAATAGACAGTCCCTGCTAGAAAGGGCAGCTGAAGGTTAAAAAAAGGGAAAAAAAAACAAGTAGGAAGTAAGTCTAAATAGCTGGCCTACTGTGCGAGGCATATCTATAAGCAAATGCGTTGAGATCAGTGTCATTGTTCCTCACTGAACAGTGAGAGTGCTTTAGAATGATGATTAATTTTTAACAAAAATGGTGATATACAATGTAAGAGCAGCTGTAGAGCATCAGTATAAAGATCCAGCTAACCTTGGTTCCTAATCTTCTGTGGATAGTGCTAGTTCTCTGACAGACTCATCTGGTCTCCAACTTTCCTTCCGTGATTTTTTTCTAATTGCTTTTTGCATCCACAGCATTGTCTGTCAGGCACTTCCATAGATCAGCCATATGTTGTCTGAAAGCATTTCACTTCGTGTAGCCTTCTAATCTCTTTTCTTGACACAGTGTTGATTTGAACAGCTTTTCTTATTCTTGTCCATCTTGTAAATATTTTGATCTTCCCCTAAACTGTTTGTGTCTCATGCTGAAGAGCCCTAGCCTGTTCAGATATTACACCCATGAAGACAGTTGTAGGTCTTGATGCAGTCTTGTTATCTTCTCTTGTCCTCTTTCCTAGTTATTCTATATCCATTTTGTGTGGGAGCAGAGAAGAGGCCAGATGAGACACAGTTAACTAATTGCTATCTGAGGTACTTTGATAGAACAGTAATATTGCAGAAGTGAGCAGAGGATAAATTATGTTAGTAGCAGAGTGCTGCTGTATGTGAGTGACAGAATGGTGCCAGAAAGATGTCTGGCAGTGAGAGCTGTGGGTGTTCGGGCAGTGAGAAGGGAACAGACATGGGCATTGCTTGGCTGCTCTGCAATACCTAGTGCATTCAGTGCAATATGAGTTTCTAAAGTAAAGCAAGACAAAACATGTTGAAAAGGGGGTAGAGAGGGGGAGTGTTCCCACATTCAGTGTTCAGTTAATTTTGAACAAAGTGCCATGGTGCACTGTGGATTTTAAAAGGCAATAGAGTCACAAATTCACAGAAATCCTTTGGTATCTATTATGTGCAATGATTCACATACAAAATATTTCAGGATGCCCTTAAACTGATGATTATTCTTTCCAGTTTCAAATTCAAAGATAACTCTTAGTTCTTTCCTGAGCTTCTTTCAATGCTTACTGACTGAGAAAGAAACTTTATTCCAAGCCAGTGAAGCAGTTCTTCTTTCAAAAAGCTGTTTAAACAAGATAAGAAGTAGGCTCAAGGAAGCTAGATCTAAGGAAATGCTGAAAAGAGTTTACCTATGCACAGCTGCTTACAGCAGTCTGCTGGAATCACAGCGTTACAGAATCTCCTCCGTTGGAAGGCAACTTGGAGGTCACCTAGTCCAACCTCTTGCTTAAAGTGGAGCAGTAAATTGAAACCAGGTTGCTCTCGGCCTGCCCAGCTGGGTTTTGGCTTGTAAAAGGATGGAGACTGCACAGCCTCTTTGGGCAACCTCTTCCAATGTTTAATTATTAAATTGATAGTTTATTAAATAGTAATTTTTACCTCAGGTAGACAATAAAATTACAATATAATTACGTAACTCATACGTTGGTATCACTGTAATTCTGGGGCTGTAAAAATAGGACACAGAAATCAAGCAGAGCATCCATCAAAACACACCTACCTGGAAAATTTTGGTCTTTGCCAACCATGATGGAAACTAGCTTGGCTTCTGCTTCAAGCATGTTAATTTGCCAGCAATAAGGATTTTGAAATAGTTTGAAACCTTGTATTTTTTTAGAGTAATGATGCAAATACAGCAAATTGCTCCATCACCTGAGTATTTTATTTTAAATAAGCAGTACTCTGGCAATATTTAAAATGTAAGACTTTAGAAGAGAATAACTGCCTGGCACTGCTGATAATTATTTTTAGAGCTTGACAAGCAGCTGTCTCCAGATGGTGGGCTGTGTTCCACATCCTTCTCCTGTGCTGTAAATGGAAACATGTGATGCAGTAGTAATCTAAAGCTTCTTGTAACTTGTCTTTGTTTGTTTGTTTCAGCTTTGGTTTGCTTTCGTCAATGGATTTTCTGGGCAGATCTTATTTGAGCGATGGTGCATTGGTCTGTATAATGTGGTAAGTTGCTAAATGTTTTGGCTTGATAGCACTTGGGACTTGTATGTTATTTTGTTGTGACCGGTTTCTCACAGGTTACTGTCTTGGATGTATGTCAGGAAAGGTGAGTTCATTTGTAAAAGCCACTTTGAATCTACCCAAAGGTAGATAAAAAATTCATTTTGGGTAATGTTTTTATGTCAAAAATAGATTTGGTAAAACACCTTGAAAATACACGTTTGTTCTAACATAACCTCCATGAAACTCTACAGCTTTCAGATGGAATTTAGTTTCCTCTTCAAAAGCATTGTTGGTCTTTTGTAGTGGATATTTTGTTGACTGTTCATGTTAAAAATAGATACAGAGTCTTAATCTGAGTTTTATTTTTTTTCTCAGACCCTGTAACAGTTAGATGCTCAGAGAAGTGTCATGCAGGTGCTTTGGGCTGACTTGGGCTACATTAGGTACAGAACGGGAAGCAGCATTGCCATGTCACCAGCACTTTTCACTTGAACCAAGAGCAGGATGTGTCAGTCCAGGAGTGATTGCTGATTTTCACCCTGCTCTGCAGAGTGCCACACTGTGCCCCATGGCTTTATCGCTTTAATCAATAATGTTGTTTAATCAATAACATTGAATAAAGTCTGGAGGATCTCTGGGACCAAGTTCCGTAACTTAACCATAGACCAGGACCAGTGTTTTCAACCGTGTTACCTTTGCAATGTTGCTGATGAGTGACACAGTGTCTGGATTTATAAGCCATTAGGATACTTTGTCAGTGTGGAAAAATTCTTTGCATTTCTCTTTAGAGGGAGGAATTTTTTTTTCTTTAAACAGACTCATTCCAAATATATGGTAATATAGAAAAAGCCAGCAAATTATCTTTATCACTGAGTAGTATTAATGGAAGCACTTAACTTCTGTCACATTAATCTTAAAAATGACAAACCCACATATTCCATAAGATTTCATATTCTTCGTGGAAGATATTTATTGAGGGATTTTCCACTCCCTTGATGCTCTTCACCCTAATTTCCTGACTCTTACTCAGTCTTTGTCATTCATGTTTAGATATTTGCTTCTATTATCTTTAAACCTGATTTGATCGATCTGCCTACATAAAACTCATGGGTGAAACTCATCTTCTAGAATCAGTCCAGTAGAAATTAACCCTTGTTTTGTAAGATCGCTATTTTTAAAAATTAGAACTGATCATATAGACTCATGAAGAATCATGTGCTGGTAGGATGTTAGGGATTTCCACAATCTGAAGGGGTTAGATTTAAAAGCAATTTTAGCACTGTCATTCTCTTCTGTACAGATTAACCCTTTATTTCATTAGTAGTCTCATTAAAATACTAAGTGTAGGAAATCACATTAGCATTGTAATTCCTGCTTTTGCACTGGTTCACACTGGAGGTTTACTTCTGTAAAGAAAACACTAGAGGATTTATTTCAAGTGAGACTATAAATGCCCCAATAAAAGTGGGAAACCTGCGGAAACACCTTAAAGCTGTATGAGAGCATGCCCTTTTTTGGAATATGTTGGACCAGTGGTCTTAGTTTCAGTTCCCCACCCCGAGTCTGCTGCCACTTAAACCATCTGGTTTATCACTTTATGAGCAAAAGAAGCACATTCCCGGTTGGATCTACAGATGTAATTATTGATTGTCACTAGTCTCTAGTCTTGTGTTTCTCTTTGTCTACTCCCCAACTGCCAAACTCGCTGCTGGTGGGAGCCACAGCCCAGCCTTTGTAAATGTACGTACACACTAGAAGCAGTTGATAACTTCAAGCTACTTCTCAACTTCAAGAACACTTCTCAAACTTAAGAATATATGTACATATAGGATTAGAAATGATTTTTCTGATATAAACTGTTCATGTAAAATAAAGTGAATGAAGTTTAGTATTCAGACAGGCACACTGGTATTATTTTCACTCTGTGCCTGCACTGCAGACTGCAAGAAGCGTGGATACCCAAGCTGGCTTGAAATGAGCTGCCTCAGATCCTGGAAACACTTTAAGAGCAGCAATGTGGGACTCAGCAGAGGCTAATTTACTCTGCTTCTGGCAAAGGCTCCTGCTGCCTCTCCTGGAAGGCTTCCGAGGCTTGGTCATCTAAGCATCTGCCCATAGCAGAGACATGTACTGCAGTTAATTTGTTCCTATCAGTTCATGCCTGCCTGCAGAATCCCCAAAGTACCATAATACAGAATGGTCTTTGTTTTTCAGTAGATTATTTTTTTTAATGTGATTTCCACATTTGCTTTGTCTGTGAACTTAGCTTTGGTTGAGCAAATTACATATTTAATTGTGGCTACAACTGCAGCTGTATTTGAACCCATTCTCACAAGCCTTTTTTTAAAAAGTACATGTTGTGTTTCCTTTGCAGTCTGCTGTGTTTTACCCTTGCTAGATTAGCTGGTACATCAGAAACTAATGATGCTTCTTGTGTTTAAGCTACTTGGTTAATAGTACAAATTTTCTTTCATGTTTCTTTTGTTCATAAGTCAATATTTGAGAGTTATGAATTGCTGAAATTCAATTGCTGGGCATTTGAAAATTACGTCAAATAACAGTCTAGTTGGTAATAAGTCTTCACTGAAGTCTGTGGGAATTTTGCTATTGTGTAGATACTGAAATATTATCTGAGATTCACATAAAACTAATAGCTGCTTTTAATTAGTATTTGCTTTCGTTGCAGATTTTCACAGCACTGCCACCCTTTACTCTGGGAATTTTTGAACGATCGTGTACTCAAGATAGCATGCTTAGATTTCCACAGCTATACAAAATTACTCAAAATGCAGATGGGTTCAACACAAGGGTAAGGGAGAATCTGTTTCTTTAAGAATACTTGAGCATTCTTATCTTCCAGGTCTTTCTCATAGCAAATAACTTATTCCCCATTGTTACTTCTCCTAAAATTAAGAATAAGATTGTTCTGCCTCTCAGTTCTGTTCAAGGGATTACTTTTTTTTTTTAAAAGTCCTTGTTTTTAAATCAGGATTTTCTGGTATGGCTTCAACTGAGGCTAGTTGTGAAATATTAATAAACTTTAATTCAAAGGAAGATTTGTATCCAAGTATGATTTTTCAATTCACAACTACTGATAAATGGTGAGTTTAACACTTGCATAGGAACTGTATGACATCGCCTGGATTTTATTCAATACACAAGTTGTCATAAAGCTCTCTTCTGCTAGAGGGCTTTTTTGCCATTAGTATAGCTCTAGTCCCATAGTTTTTTGGAAAATAAAATTTGAATTTGTTTTAATTGGATTTTGAGTTTTGAGGAACACATTTTACTTCATTTTTCTATTTAAATGCTGGAAGGTGCCAGCATTTAGAATGGTCTTTGTTCCTTAACAGACACATCTAAATATACTTCTGAATCAAGCAAGCTGTATGATTGCTTTGTTTAAAGAGGAAGTGTAGAGTATGTGAAGTCCTAGTTTGTGCAAAATGGCATTATCTGCAAGTTAAAAATTGTGGGGCATGAAGTATTTACCCATTAAAAGAACGTAGAACATTTCATAGTACTGAATTGGTCTTTTGAAATCGTTCTTTGAGGTAATTAAAGAAGGGTGGCTCCATCTGTTTGCTGTATTTTGATAAAGATCTTAAATTGCAAGCATGCTTGCCTATTATATTTTAAGTTGTAGAATAAAACCTTCCAACTGGACCAATGTTTTCTTGTGAAAGAGCAGAAATTTTAGGAGGAAATAGATCTTGCAGAAGTTTAGGTGTTTCAGTTCAGGACAAACATTGTCTGACTCTAAACTACACAATGGAGGGTTTGTTAGGAGTTAGAGAGAGGTCAAGAGTTTTGGACTTTACTGACAACTTGGTTTGTTTTCCCTCAGGTTTTCTGGGGTCACTGCATCAATGCCCTGATCCATTCCATCATTCTCTTCTGGTTTCCACTGAAAGTGCTGGAGCATGGTGAGGGCTTCATTATTTCTTATGTCAGTAACTGCTGTTCAGTCTTACAGAGCCAGTGTGTTTGCAGAATGGGAGGTTGTGACAAGCCCCAAGAAAATAACGCTGACAGACAGTTCAGTAGGCTATAGCTGCTGAAACTGGCTAGCTATCCACTGGCT